ATGGCAATTACATTAAGAAACCCTTCTTTTACCCACTTTTCCCAATTCCTCACAAATGGATATTACGGTGCCCATCCATAAAACTTATCTCAACCCTTTATTTTATACTGCAATTTTATGTAAGAAAAGGTGGTGCCACTCCTTGGGGGCCTGGTCACCTTCAAGCGTATTATGAAGGTGGTTGATAGGCATGGCAACCTCTACACGTGATGCACAGCCGAGATTCCAGATTTCCCCCAATCCTTCAACTGCCACCCTTGCTGTGTGCCATTATTCCTCTCTCATCGCTCCAACTCCCTTCAAGGTGCAAGGCTCTGCCCGATTCCTCATAGCCAGTGCGGCCACGTGGCTGGCTCTTGCCATTGAGACAGGAGCAGACATGAAATACACAACTGCCATGTCATTTGCTTGAAAGGAAATCTGTTTGGGACTTATTTCTTTTCTGCCCCTGAATCCAGTTGGAACCTGGAAATAGCAGGACCCAGAACCGATTGGCAGGCAAGGATGGCCAAGGAAAGAGGTGAAGGGAACCAGGCTTCCTGAATCCCCACCTGCCCGATTGTTCATTTCTCCCCTAAGCTTTAGAAGTAAAAAATTTCTGAAGGAGCTCATTGCTATGAAGAAGACCCTGTAGAAAAATACAAAAAAGAATAAAAGAGACAAGTGAGCCATCGGAGAATTCAAGAAAGGCGAAGTTTAATTTGCATATAGGCATAGCCCATACCTCGCGCGGCAAGCGTCAGGCCAAAGCACAAATCCCTCTGTCGGAATCACAAGTCAGTAGATTTCCAAAGTAACTGGACACAAACAATATGCTTCTCAAAGTAACACAAGGGTCTGTCCCTTACACACACACACACACACACACACACAGAGAAATACATTTAAATCTTCTTCAAGAGAGAAATGAGGATGGTAATCATGTGACCTCACATTTGGACAGCACTATACAGTTTACAGACTAACCCATTTTGTCCTCATGACAGCCCAGTGAGGTAGGCAGCACATAAATGACTATTTACTTCATTTGTAGGCGAGAAAACAGGCTCAGAGAGGTTTCAGCACTGGCTTGAGGTTTCCCAGCTGTGGATGTGGAGTGGGGTCTGGGACTCCACACTGGGAAGCCCCATCCAGTGATCTGTCATAACTGCCTTTGTAGGGGAAAGAGAAATGGGTGAGTAAAGGACAGTGGTTCAGCATGTGAAGTGGGATTATTATTTTCTTCGAGCAGATGAGATCAGGTCCAATCAACCTTAAAGTTAAAGTCATGCTGTGTGGCAGCCCAGATAATGAATTTTCGGAATCATTCATGTATTCATAACTACAACAAAATGGTTGTTTTCTACTTTCTGTTTATCTGTGCCCTGCCTTAATATTGTGTCACTAACTGAAATGAAGATATGTTACTAGGTCAGATTTCATTGACTCAAGTCTTATTATCAGGATTCACACAGTAGCATCTGTAATCAACTCAGTATTTAAACTTAAAATCTGTTGTCTTACTGAAAAGAAAAGGGCTCTTACTCATTTATTTCTTCTGGGTGTGCACATTAACCTGATTCTATTCTTTAGCCATAAATAGTAGTTATCATTTTATTCCATTTCAGTAGTAGTCAAAAAGATCAACTCTACAGGTTGGATTTTTAAAATAATCTTATACTTTACAATGAAGGGAAATATTTTTTTCAGAAAAAAAAACCCTCAAACTTTAAAAAGAAATGCTAAATAAAACCTTTCCTTTAAAAATAAAAGTTAATTTTATTGAGAATAACCCCTCTTCCTGCATTACTCTTTTTAGTTGAGAATTTAAAAATGGCCCAATCATTGTTGACCGAAAGTCTTGATTCATGTAATACCGGGAGGGAAGAAGAGGTGTGGTCCATCATCACACACACTAACTGAAATGTAAGGAATGTTTCTCTTTCAAGTGACTCAGTTTTTATGAGTTTCCTTTGTTTTTAAGTAGTCCTTTAAGATATACTGAAATTTAACACACAGGAATTGGACTTTGGGTGAGAGCCCCTTGAAACTGTCATAACAGTAGTTTAAAATTCCCCTCTTGAAGTGCCTTCAGAGAAACACTAAGGAAAAGCGACAACATTCTACCTCATGCCTGAGTCTGTCACATAATATTTTGGCCTAAGGAAGAGATTTGCCTCTGTAGCAAAACTGGATGTCTTAGTCAATAACCAATGGAATCCCCTAAAAGCTGCAAGATAACTTCATTGATAGTATGAAATGTGGGTGTTCATCTGCAAGCATGAAATTGAACTTTACTTCTGATTTTCTGGGCTAATTTTGCAATAATAAAAGTATTTGCTACTTTGTTGCTAGAGACTGACTTCCCATCTCCTCTTAGAAATGGGTCTCACAGAATGGAATATGGGCAGACGCAGCCAAGAGTGAAGGCTCCGACAATACTCACGGAGCTTGCAAAGCAGATGGGGATAGGTGAGGTAACAATCGGAGGAAACATCACAAGTTGCTCTTGGGGATTTTAAATGTGACTAAACTGAGGCCTTTGAAATGTGCGCTCCTATTTCCACTGGCTCAGAAATGGTGCAGGTCATGAAAAGGAACTCCCTTGGAGGCGGGGTTCTCCCCATGCTCCAGCAAGGGTTCCAGAAGCTGGAGGAACCTGGAAAGCTCAATAAAAAGCTAAAGGTCAGCAAAGCAACTGACAGTGCCCATTGCTGACCACTGGGGGGCGCGCCAACATTCTGCAGGAAATAAACATGAAAGCTTTACTTCTTGAAGAAAACCTGCCTGCCAAAAGCCCGGGAGAGTTTAGAAATGTCTCTATCTCTTATTTTTCTTTAATAAGAATGGCTGCAGTGACTCTGGAACATCTGAGTGAAAGAAATACAGCTCAAATTTCCAGGGAAAGCACACACAGAACCACCGCCTTCCCCTGGAAGACTTTGGGGACTCTGAGGCAAACTGGAAGGCATTAACATTTCTAGGAGTTATTTTGCCTGACAGTTCTGTGTGTGGTCCTTTCACTGATTGTCCTGTTTTCACTCATCTTCCAAGACTGTTTTTGAGTCAAGAAAGTTAACCTTTACTTTCTTTTCTTATGCAAGACTTTGAGGTGCTTGGTGCAATGACGTATTAGTTTCAAGCCCTCAGTCTCTGAACACTGAGAAATAAATTGTAAGTTATGCACTGTTAGGATCCGAACAACCCATGCTTTTTATCATGCATCAAGATGCTTTAACCTCTTAATTGAAACTAAAGAGAACAAACAAGCAACTTTCTGTAAAAAAAAAAAAAAAAAAAAAAAAAAAAAAAAAAAAAAGGAGAAGAAGAAGAAAGCATTCATAAGTAACCCTCCTTGGGTTTAGTGTTACACTGTTGGCTAATGTGAGCTATTGAAAATATTTTTGGAGTGGTCTTTAAATATTATAAATATTTTCTTTTACTTACTTGTTATTTTGATATATAGTTATGTACAGAGATGGCCCTTACCATGCAGGAAAAATGTACATTCTCCATCTCTATGGTACTTTATCAAAGCCGGCCCTTCCACCACGTTTTACGAGCCAGCCAGGTGAATGTTAGTCAGCTACTAGCTCTAACAACATAATTAAAGTGCGAAGAAAGAGGGAAAATAGCCAGACAGATCAGTGTTGTTCATTGTCAGCATTGATACACTTCATGGCTCGAAGTGAAAATATCAGGTGCAACAGGCTCAGACAACAATACTGAATATTGTTGTTGTTTTTCTTTTCCTTCTTTTAAAGCAGAAGTCTCCCTGAGAAGAGGAGAGGGAAGTAAACATGGAGAGAGCCCCATTTCTTCAACAACTGACAATCCTGGGACCAGCAAGGTCCCTTTCCCCTCACAGAATAGCAGTACGAACCCCAGCAGTCGGTTTTCTGATATAACAGCTGTTGAGTGGTTTCCCATATACATACAATATTTCCACTCAAAAGTATAAAAATTTAAAAACAAAGAGGGTAGGGGAAGAACTGTCTATCAAGGGCACGCGGAAGTGTGGGTTTTAAAAAGAAATTCCCACTAACCAGCTTTTAAAACAATACAACCCGTCTCCACAATGAGCCTAGAAAATGGTTTGTGTACATCAGAAAGGATTCCCCGCATTGCTGTAAGGGGGAAGGAAGCAAACAAGCACAACGGCGTGCAAAGCTTTGTAAGTGCTACCTCGTTTCACTTAGCCTTGCAACCCCCTCTTCCCCACGGCACTCAGTGGCCTCTGTCTTACGCCACAGTTTTGCCGGTGAGGCGTGCGGCACCTTTTGCAAACTCTGCACGTCCTCCTCCAAGGGTGTTGGCTTCTCTGGCACCACAGCCTCAGGAAGAAGCCCCACCCACCCCACAAAGCCACTGGCTGGAATCCTCTGGGGCACAGCCTGCTGAGTTTCTAGTTAAAGAAATGTTATGTACAAATGCACTTGACTTCATCGTATCTTTCGTCTCCTGTCCCCTAAAGACTGAAAAGGCAGTTTTCGAACATGCCCTGACTCCTCCATGCACTGACACCCGTGCACATGCTGTAGACAGAAGTTGCTGACGCCAGCCCATCCCTCCACAGGAAGCCTGGGCTTTTCTGGAAGCTTGTGACAAAGGAGATGTAACAGAAGCAGTGAAGGCCCAGGAGAAGATGGGGAGGTGTGCCCAGGCCGGTAAAGTGCCAGAGAATCATCACAGTTTGAAATGTACCTTCTTACCTGTGTCATTAAAATGGCTACCACATCTCCCATCATACATTCTCTTTCTGCAGAATGTGCCACCAACCTTTACCAAATATCCTTCTTTTCACCTTCCCACCCAAGTCTGAAGCATCTGTCTCTGACCCCAAACAGCTGGGCTTCCCTCACTGGAGTCCGAATCCAGTTAACGTTCCTTCTTCCATGGACAAAGGAGACTTGTTTTGGTCTCCGTCCCGTCCTCACGGTACTGTGGGAGGCATGGCATGCACAGTTCTGTCTGTCCCCCCTTCCATGAAAATTCCCCGGGCCCAGAGCAAGGCCAAATCTTCAAGCAGGGAGCCGAGGTTCAATTTTTAGTGACAGCTCGTACAGTGTATCTTCATCTATGATGAGGGCTTTGTCAAGCAAGTACTGAGTGACCTGAGGAAAAAAGGCAAATCCTCGCTGTTAGTTCCTTTAGGACACCGGTATGTTGCATTTTTCTTAATCGAATCTGACAGTTCAACATATTCTCTTAAACATTAAAAAATTTACATAACTAAAAATTACTAATATATCCTCAATGTAAAAAAATAAAAACAATGAAAGGATTAGCCAAAGAACATATGGGCATAAGACATAGACACAGATAATAGTATGGTGATGGCCAGAGGGAGGGGGGCTGGGTGGAGGTGGGCAAAGGGAGGAGAAATGGGAACATATGTAATATTGCCAATAATAATAATAAATAGTAATGATAATGATAGTAATGAAACTAAACATCTCTAGTGTTCTCCCAACTCCCTGGGCTCTTCCCTCAAGAGGCACCCTTGTTATCATTTGGTTTGTATTCTACTGCTTGAATTTTGACTTTTTAAAAAAATATATATTTTATTGATTTTGTACAGAGAGGAAGGGAGAGAGATAGTTAGAAACATCATGAGAGAGAGTCATCGATCCGCTGCCTCTTGCACACTCCCTACTGGGGATATGCCCACAACCAAGGTACATGCCCTTGACCGGAATCGAACCCAGGACCTTTCAGTCCCCAAGCTGACGATCTATTCATTGAGCCAAACCAGTTTTGGCGAATTTTGACTTTTTAAACAATTGCCTTTTGTCATGCAGAAGTTTTTTAATTTGATGCAGTAAAATTTATCAAACTTGTCTTTTACAGCTTTGCATTCAGTGATTAAGGAAGTCTTTTAAATCTAAAGATTATAAATATTTTCTCCTCTATTTTGTTAAAATCATTTAATGTTGCTTTTTCTTTTTAGGTAATGAAATCATCTGGGATTTATTTTTATGAAAAATATATAAGATGGAGAATTCCTCATTTACTGGATGGTCAAGTTTTTTCCAGTTCTTAAAAAAAGCCTCCTTTATACCATCCTAGAGGCCGGCCCTCACAGCCCTGACGTTCATCTGGAAGGTCGTCTGGAAGTCGTTCTGCTGTTCAGCCATTAGGTCGATTTGCATATTACACTTTTATTATTATAGATTATATTTTTGTTTATATAAAATATGCATCTAGACTTTTATCCTGCTTCATTTAATTTGTATTCCTATACCTGTATAATCCTTTTTTAAAGATAATCCTTTTTAAAATATCCTACTGATTTTTAGAGAGTGGAAGAAATCGGGAATTGACCTGCAATCCAGGTGCATACCCTTGACTGAGAATCAGACAGGAGAGCCTTTGGTCTTCAGTTGACACTCCAACCACTGAGCAACACCAGCCAGGGCCCATATAATCCTATTTTATGCACTACAGTTTAGGACATGTGTCTGAATCTGGTAAGGAAAGCTCTCCCTTACTCTTATTTAAAAAAAAAATCTTGTCTGTTTTTTGCCTATCTAAGCTTCTTTATTAGTTTTAGGATAAGTTTGTCAAGTTCAAAAGAATAATAAGGAAAACTGGCTGTAAGTTATATTCTGTACTACCTTCTCAATGTTTCTGTAAAGTTATAACTATTCTAAAAAAACATAACACTTAAAAATGTAAAGAAGGAAGGAAGGAAAGAAGGAAGAAAGAAAGGAAGAAAAAATGGAAGGGAGGGAGGGAGGGAGGGAGGGAGGGAGGGAGGGGAAGGATGGAAGGAGGGAAGGAGGAAAGGGGGGAGGGAGGAAGGAAGGCTGGACAGTTGTGGCTGGGATGGAGAGAAGAAAGGGTAAAAGAGGTATATGATGTGAGAGGAATCTTGAAAGATGAGTAGAGACCACATAACGCAAGACTTTTTGGGCATAGCAAGGTCTTTTTCTTTCTTTATCCTAAGAGCAATGGGAAACCAGTAAAATAGTTTATGAAAGTTGAAGACATATTCCATTTTGTGTTTCAAAGTGTTCTGTCCAGCTGTAACTTGTAGAATGGGTTTTGCATTCTAGAGTGAATACAAATAGATCAGGTAACAGATTATTAGTAGCTTGGACCAGGGGTGGTGGTGATGTAAACAGATTCAAGAGAAATATAGGATGTAAAATCAATAGAATTTGATGCTAAATTGGTGTCTTTTGCCTTATTTTATTTTATTTTTTTACATCCAACTCACCAAAGATTTGTCTATTTTATTGGTCTTTTCTGTGAGATAGCTTTTGGTATTATTGATCAACTCTACTGCAGTTTCTAATTCAATATTTTTTTTCTTTATTAAATTCTCTTCTTACAACCACAATATTACCTTTGGCTGATGCTCTATTCGATAGGATGTCTGCTGGAACTGGCGTATCTCTCTGACGATGTGTGATATCTGACAAAGAAACAACAACAGAAGCAAAAAGGAAGTATTTCCTTGTGTGCAGCACATTCTTCTGGGAGCCCAGCCTAGAGTAGTCACTTCCTCAGTGAGGTATCTGGAGCTCTGCCTGATCATTCCCTATGCACAGGGCTTTCTTGCCTTTCAATGAGCTATAGGAAATGCTAACAGCAAGGAAATACTGAATTCACAGTCAGGGAAGCAGCTGGCACTGGGTGGCTCGGCTCCGGAGAGGCAAGCTCTGGAGGCTTTTGTCCATGTGCTCCTTGCTGTTAAGGCTGGTGCTCAGAACCTCATTGAGCAAGAAGCCTTCAGCATCTGTCCATCACTGGCCAGTCTTAGACAGCCACCCCAGGAGCTTTATTCCCCACCCCCTTTGCTCAGATTGCAAGCTGAAATGGCTCAGATGAAAACCTCCTCAGTTGGCCAACATCAAGTGTTAGACCCAGTGTCCACCACCCCATCCACCTCGAGATTAAAAAGCAAGCAGTGGCTTTCATGACGTAGCCTCTTCTCCATAAGCCAGTGAAGTCATTGAAATGGGCGGATGAGGACATTATCACCTACCATTCTCATTTTGGAGAAATTGACAAGGCCTTCCTCAGTGAAGTTTGGTGTTCCCTCTTCAATAAATGCCAGGTCTGTCAGGTACATCCCCAGATAAGGAACGGCAGGGGGGTTACAACTGCAAGACCAAGAGGAGCCGTTCCCATGCTCGTTCACACACATGTCGCTTTCCCTCCCCAGTTAAACAGGAAGCAACTATGCTGCTTCATCCTGAAGAATGAAGTCCTCTAATTCCATTTTCAAAAGCACACTTATGATATACAGAGTACTTATTTTATTGTGATGAAAAATATACAACATACAATTTCTCATCTTGTTTTTCAATTATAGTTCACATTCAATATTATCCTGTATTAGTTTCAGGTGTACAACATAGTGGTTAGACAATCATATTGATATACAGAGTTTTAAATACATCATCTCATAACAGAATATAATGCAAATGACAGCCCATGCTTTACTTTGTGTTTGAGACAATGACATGTTCAAACAACAGGATAACTCATAGACAAATACAGAATATTTGCTAACCGTGCTTGTTGGCAGTATTTGTTTACAGTACTGTAAATTGGCTACACTCCTCTGAGGGGTAAATGCAGGTAGGGAGTCTCGAATCCCATACCTCGTTAAAGTGCCAACACTCAACCTTAAAGAACAGGGTGGAAAAATCACTGGGATTAGAGGTTATAAACTGGGTTTCTGTTTTAGTTAGTATTTAAATCCACAGATGTAATTAATGTTATGACTGCACACTAAGTGAGACCCTGTTTTTTTTTTAGGAGGGTTACACTGGGTCTTCTCAGAGTCTAGAGCTGATACATGGGCCTTTGATCCAGAGAGAAGTGAGTTTGAGTCCTAGCTTGACCACCGACTAAGTGATGCTGTCCTAACGCTCTGAACTAGTTTCCTCATCTATAAAATGGAGACAATAAAACGTATGTCTCTAGTTAGTTATGAGGCCTAAATAAAACACATCAAGCACTTAGCATGGAGTCTGTAACTTAATAACTATTCAGTGAATAGTTATTGTTCTATTGTTGTTGTTATCACTAGGAGTCTTTCTTTTATCTCTGGCATCACAGGACCTATGTGCAGATAGTGAGAAAACCAGCTGTAGAAGATTTATCCTATCCTATCCTTTCCTATCCTATCCTACCCTATCCTATCCTGTTCTTCTCCTTTTTATTCTCTTTACTAGATACCCAATGCACGAAGATTTGTGCAGAATGGGCCTTCCTTACTCTGGCTGCCAGCACAGCCTTTGCTCTGGCCCAAAACACCTTTCTGCCTTCGTTCCATCAGGAGCCATCTTTCCACCTTCCCACGCTACCCAGAGGCCTGGAGCAGCTGCAGTGGTGTGAAATGCCTGCTACCCACCCCTGGCCGCAGGACACTTGCATATGCAAATAAACCACAATCTTTGTTGGGTTAATTTGCATAACCCCTCCTGATTGGCTGGTGGGCATAGTGAATGTACGGTCAATATGCATCTTTTATTAGTGTAGATTCTCTTTCTTTCCTTCTCTCAAGAGTGAAAGATCCAGCAATAAAAGGCCAAAAATAGATAACAATAGTTAATAGATACTGGGATATTTAAATTTTAAAAATCACAGGGTATCATTGCACTTAGCTTAAGAAATATTCAATCAAATTTTTTATAGTAAATCACGGTTTGATTTACTGTGGTGACATTTTTCTTCTTGTTGGAATACTCTGCATACTGTGAATATTATCTATATGACACTTACTATATGCACAGTATTCCAAGTAAAAAGGAAAGTCAGAAAAATATGTAATGATGGAAATAGTTTCTTATTTGTTTTTCTTTACAAAGCAAAGTAGGAGGTAGGCCTCTATCTGAACACTATGTAAATTATTTAAATATATTTTTAAATTATGAATAATTTAATAAAGATATACATACTTTTTAAGGGTTTCTCTAAGATTTTTAAATCTTCCTTCAGATGAAACAGTCTTCTGAAGTTTGTCCATTAGAGCTTTTGTCTAGAAAGAAACAAATGTCTTAGTATATCATGAAATACTACTATGGTTTGATAAGAATTACCAAAAGATGCTTAGTTCTCTTCCACAATAGCAGATTTCTGTGATGGAATATAATTTTCAAAGTATTGAGATGAGGTATTATATTTAAATTTGATGTGTGTGTGGGGGGGGAAACATGTGAAAAAGAAAAACTGACTATACCATTCAGTCAAAAATAGAAGAAAATGTTTAGAAAGTAAAAATAGCAATGCATGAGAAACTCTGTCTTAAAGGACTGAAAGGCACATGTTGAATAGAGACTTTTAAAGGTGAAGTATCATGTCAGGGAGTTTCATGATGAATCTCTTTGAGTGTTAATTTCCAAATCATCGAAGTACATACTGGTTGATTGGTTATTGACCTATCAATATCCTCTACTCCAAATCCCCCCCCCCTTTTTTTATTGATGTGGTCATCTTCATCAACTTGTTAGAAAAATACAATTGATATTTACCAAGAGATGGAATTGTTGTTGACATTGATCTGGACTTTCATGGCACATGGGAGGAAAAGAGGGTGGCCCTTGGGGATGATCACACACACTGCCTGGAACACTCGCATCCAGGCAGCTTGGCTGCGAAAAGCACTAGGAATGCCCGGGTTGAGGCTCCTCAGACTACCCTGTCCCATAAGCCTGGAGGGGCTCTCCCAACACCAGCCAACACCCATGGAGAAGGCCAGGAGGAAAAGCCAGGGGAAACTGTGACTGAAGTTATCTGAATGAAAATGACAGCATGCCCATGCTGAGAAAATTAATAAAGCTCTGTATCTGTACATCTTAGTCATCATGCCAGGACTTTACATTCACTACATGAGTAACAGAGAAAGAGATGGATGTTGAGGCCCCTCATCCCTCGTGTTTGGCCCTAAGGCATTTGGACCCTTACTTTGAGGGAGAGAGGATGTTCACTCAACATCATTTGAGATCAGTGTGCCCTCTCTAAGTAATTGAGGAAAAAACTCCTGTCAACCACATGGTTTGAGGTTATCCCCAAGCAAGCCATAATGAACGTTTTGGGTTGTATTTTCTTTTCTAAATGAACCATTTATAAGTGCACTGAGTGGAATCAATTAAGTGGTAAGAACACAGTAATTACCCACATTGGCACCTTTCTTTGGCAACTGAGCTGCTCGTTTCAGTTAATTTTTTCCTAATTAGTAATATTTATCTTGGCTCAGGTCTCCCAGCCTCTCTGCAGCAGGATGTGTCGCACGCTGATGCTCACCTGCTTGGACACCTTGGCCCAGGTTTTCTTCAGCCGGTAGATGGCGGTCCTGTTTAAGGCCGAGGTGATCTCCAGCATGCCGTTGTAGTTGTGCAGACATCGGCAAATGTCTGCCACCGCCACCCACTTCTCAATGGCGTTGGCACGAGAGCTGATATCTGCGTAATTCATGATCTGGGAGGCCACCAGGTTACTCATCTGAGACAACGGGAAAGCCAAAAGAGGCGGCTAAGAGCCAAAGGAATGCATTCAGGCCACATACTCGAGATACCTGCAGAAATGTCAGGAAAGCAGGGTACCAAGGAACATGGAGACCATAGTCCAGATTTAGACAACTTTCTGTGTGACTGTAGTCTATACTAATACTAACAAACTAATGAGCATCTGTTCATCCTCAGAGGGAAGAGAGGCAGGGTTTAGAATCAGCTTGTTGGGGGAAGAGGTGACTTAGCTCATCAGTAATTTTGATGAAGGAGCCATTTCCAACAGTTATTGAGGAAATGGAATAGAATGAGCTAGCCCCTGAGGAATGGCAACCTTTGCAGATCATGGGTCTCACTTCTTGGGGACTCTCAACATGCTCCTTGCCCCTTTTGGTATAGAATATTCACTCTAGGAATCCTCAGTTGCCACAGAGGAAGAAAACAAATCAAATAGTTTCTACCCTGATCAACTCTCAAACCAGAAACACTTCAGTGAAATGGAAGAGAGAATATTTTCTCCTTCCTATCTTTTTGAATTTTTTCCCCACCAGCAGAAAAAGGACCTATAGTTTCAAGGCTAAGCACTGTAATACTTTTAATAAAAGCCAAGAGAAAAAGAAATAACTTAAGAAGCTCAATACAGAATATGAAAAGGAAAAGGGAAGAATAGGATTGATTGCTAAAAAGAGAATATGGGGTCTAATTTTATATCTGTAGTAAAGGCCCGATGCATGAAAATGTGTGCGAGAGTAGGCCTTCCTTCCCCCGGCTGCCAGCACCAGCTTCCCTCTGGCACCTGGGACCCAGGCTTCCCTCCTCCGGCTGCCAGCAGGCACCTGGGACACGGGCTGGGTTTCCTCCAGCCTGGCTTCGTCAGGAAGGATGTCCAGAATGACATCTGGAAGACATCTAGCATATTGCCCTTTTATTATTATAGATACTAAATCTGATAGGTACAGGCATTCTTTGATAATTTTGTAACCACTTAAGATCTTTCTTTTATTTATTTATTTTTTTTTGTTGAGATTTTGAGGGAACATTTGTGAAAGCTGGGGATAATGGCCAAAAAAACACACAAAAAACTTAGGGCTTAGGATAGATATAGTGCCTCAGAATTATCAATATGTATATTTATTAAAAATTTATTTTATATTGAGTACCTTCTATGAGCCAGGCATTTTTTTTAGGAGCTGGAAACAGAAAGACATAAATTAGCACCCCCGACCTTAAAGCACTGAGTCTAGCTAGATGTGAAGGTGAGTGGCATTTGCTGTTTATGCAGACATAAACAGCAAATGCCACACAGTGAAATGCAAAGCCAAGTCCTCACGGGGTGGGGAGTGTGGTTGAGAGCATAGAGGCTCATGGGACATCTAGCCTAGAACAGAGGAGGCTTTGGAATGAGGGTGTGGCTGGCTGAACTGAGTCCTAAAGGATCAGCGGGAGTTAGCCACTGCTTTCCACCAAAGTAGAAGAGTATTTGCACAGGGACAGAGGTGGAAGGCATGGTGCACGGGAGGATCTGGCAGCCATCTGAGGAGCCCAGGAGTCATGAGAGACAAGGATGACAGGTGAGCAGGGCTCTTGTAGGCCAGGTTGAGCAGCTGAACCATATCTGGAAGGTGAGAGGTATCCACTCACAGAGTTTTGTCAAATAAATCGGTATAATTAGATTGGCCTTTCAGAGAAGTGATTCCTGTGTGAGGAGTGGGTGGGAGGGCAGTGAGGCAGCAGGGGATAGAGAGTTAGAGCTCCTGGGGAGAAAGGATGAAAGGCCAAGTCAAGGTTATGGCAGAGGGAAAGGAGAGGACAGGCTCTGAGACCTATGTAGATTTAGTGTTCACTAATACATTGGAGATGGTGGTGGGGATGGGCAAGGGAGAAGAAGGAGTCAAGGAGGATTTTTAGATTCTGTCCTTGGTTGAGTGGGTGGATGGCAAGGCCATCATGTGAGACTGAGAACAAAGAATAAGATGCAGAAACCGGCTTGGAAGGCCTGAGGTGCTAACAATAAATTCATTTGCAAACTGAGAGCACAAGCAGTGGCGATGTGGGTATGGAGCTTGGGACTGAACCCGATTTGAGTGTCCATTATACCCCAAGTGTGTGCGCGGCACAGGCGGCGGAGGTTGGTTTTCCACTCCAGGGGCTCTGCTTCCAGAGTGGCCCAGGGGGGCCATGTGTCCGTCTTTTAGGCAGCAGTGGCTCTGATGCTCATTGTGTGTTAACGTTCACTTGGCCTGTAACTACTCTGCAGGTACTCTGTGCAAAAGCACTGTCTTGGCCGAAACCGGTTTGGCTCAGTGGTAGAGCGTCGGTCTGCGGACTGAAAGGTCCCCGGTTCGATTCCGGTCACGGGCATGCACGTTGGTTGCAAGAGGCTTGGTTGCAAGAGGCAGCTGGTCAATGCTTCTCTCTCATTGACATTTCTAACTCTCTATTTCTCTCCCTTCCTCTCTGTAAAAAATCAATTAAAAAAAAAAAAAGCATTGTCTTGGGAATCTACACTGCTGTTTTGTATTTTGATTCCAGATGACCTGTTAATTTACCTGGTAGTCTTTTTTTCTTTTTCTTTTACTGTAACTGCAAAGAGGGCCTTCCTTTTTCCCTGGGAAGCCCTGAAGACACTTCAACATCTGTGGTTCTAATTTGGGACTGAAACCATTAGAACAGGACAAGTGAAGAGTCAATGGGTATAAAGCAACTCCATCTTACCGCTGAGAAAAGGGAGGTAGACCAGCTGCTGGTCACAGCAGAACCACAATCTTTCTTAAAGAGGTCCCTTCCAAGCCTGGAATGCATTCAGTCATGATGAGAGAGGGTGCACCAACCCTACCTGCCTGTCACTAACACCACCAGGGACCAGTGGCACATGTGCTGTTCACTCTGTCAGAAGTGGTTGATCTATGAGGTAGTAATGATTATGATGAAAATAATTACCCCAGCCTATACATTATTGAGCACTTACAAGTCTCGAGTACCATCAAACGTAAACCACTTGCATCTGGAAGTTTACTGAAAATCCTGACATCATTGTGAGCTTTTAGGAGAGCTAAGTGTGTCTTTAACATCCCATCCATCCCATGAGGGTAGCTTTATTTTAGGAAAAGAATCTTAAGGCCCTGGTCTTCCTCTTCCTGTAACATGCCCGAGGTTTTCTGTTCATGGTTACTCACATCATTAAAATGCTTGCTGGTTTTCATAATGTAAGGTGTTCTTTCATTTTTATCCAGCTTCATCCAACCCTGCCCAAGAAACTCTCTGAAAGTTCAAAGCAAAATATAAAACCAATTAAGTTTTTAAAAATGGTCAATTATTGGTGTGCATAATTATTAATATGATATATATTAAACTTGACATTGCCCAACACCTGCTGCTGCTGACTCTCTCAAATGAATTTTAGCTCAACTCTAGCATTTCACAATGTCATGCAAAAAAGAAAGAGATTTTCCAGTTTCCAGCTTTCTCTGGAACTTTGTCCCTGTTAGGATCATTATAAAGGCTTCTCTAAAGTTGGAAAACAATGACCAACACAGAGGAATAAAGAGGTTAAATACTAACTCAGAAACCAAGACTATTTTCCTTGGATTGGCTTGTTTAAAAAAAAAATGTAAGCCTTGGCAGAAGGTCCAAAAAATCAATCACTACCAAAAATGTTAATCAAGACCAGCCTGTTCTCCTCCACTTTGCTCTGCTGTCTCCAGAAGAATATGATTCCATGGGCAGGACATTCCTTTGTTCTCCCAGAAGTCCAGAACAGAACACCCTGAGGAGGGCTGAATAAACCAACACGTTACAGCCCATTCATGTGGTGAAGGCAGTCACAGCTGGGAGCTCAGCCTGGTGGAAGGCTGTCTTCCAAATAACATTTCTGCTCTTTCACTTCACCTTTGAGCAGGCCACCAGATCACAGTAAGCGACCATCAAAGTAGAACATACAGGAATTATTTTATACCAGAAGCCCGGTGCATGACATTCATGTACTAGGCAAGGGGTAGGGGGAGGTGTCCCTCAGCCTGGCCTGCACCCTTTTACAGTCTAGCAGCCCTCAAGGGATGTCCAACTGATGGCTTAGGCTCGCTCCCACAGGAAGTGGATCTAAGCTGCAGTCAGACATCCTTAGCGCTGCTGCAGAGACAGGAGAGGCTCCCTCCTCCAGCCGCTGTGCTCACCAGCCATCAACCAAGCTTGTGTCTGAGCAGTGCTCCCCCTATGGGAGAGCACTGTCCACCAAGGGGCAGCTCCTGCATGGAGTGTCTGCCCCTGATGATTAGTGTGCTTCATAGCAACCAGTCTCGTGCCGTTCAGTCGATTTTCATATGACCCTTTTATTATATAGCAGAATCGTTACAAAGAATAACTAGAAATAAAATCACTCTGACATATTCTTAACCCAGAAATGCTGACTGAGTGTCTGGGCCAGGTTCTTTGTGGTGGTACTGTTGGTGGTACTGCTCCCATCCTGCAAGGCTGTTGGACAAAAGGTGTGCCAATTCCGTGGATGGAAATAACTGGTAGATGTTCACACCAGCACAAAGGGGCAGAGGTGAGAGGTGGGGAGGGTCTCAGAAAGAAACCACACCAAGGTTTGGGCTTCCCTCTTTCTCCTCCTCCACAGAGGTCATGCTCATCTCCTTCTGAATCCTCACTGCACTGGAGGGTTGTGAGGAGGTGGGGGAAGAAGCACTGTGGTTCCTAACTCCTGTCCTCAGATAGTCATTGGGTAGGGTCAATGGGCCACATTTCGATTTTTTTTTTTTTTTTCATGTTCATGGGTGGGTCTAGGAGTGCTGGAAGAGGGATAGGAAAAAAAGATAAATGACATAAAAGTCTGCAGGGGCAGCCTCTGTCCCTGCCTCATGCCTTCCTAACAGAGCTGTGGATCTGACCCTCTAACCACCCCTGCCAAGCCTGACCTTCCATCCTCACAGATGTCCTCTTCTCTCTGTACGACATGTTCATACCTCTTGCCCAGCCCCTCCTTTACCTTCTATTTAGCTCTTTGTTCAGAGAGAACATCTGCCAACAGTTGACATTTGTCCAAGCAAAGGCCTTGTTTATGGGCTACCAAATATGACAGCCAGGAGCGGGGGCTTAAAGAGACCCCCTCACTCTACACGAGAAATCAAAAGGCTGTGTGAGGAGACCATGGCGTCAAAGCTCAGCAATACTTGTTGACTTATGCAAGTGGGTAGCAAAATTTAGAGCATTTAAGTTCTATGCTTGTTGTCATACATAGAGAAAAACAGTGTGACCATCTTGAGAGTGCCCCCTAGTTCCACATCAACATTTCCAATATGAACCGGAACCAAAAGACATTCCGTGGGACCTTAGTACTTTAAGACACACCGCGGCACACACATGTGCCTTGGGGATAATTCAGCGCTAAGGTGCTTTCCTGCCTGAGAGGGCCCGGGGCTGCCGGGCGGCACTCACTCGTAGGGAATGCTTCTGAAAACGATGTGGTCCAGGAGGGTGATCTGCTCAGCCAGCTCCATGGCTGGCAAGGTCTCAAAGCACTCGGCCTTTGGACAGTCCGTCTGCAAGATATGGAGGAAGAGGGGTGTGAGACACACTCCAGTGAGGCTCCGGTGTGCTCCGTGCAGCTGCCAAAGCACAAAGTCCATTAAACTCTAGCGAAGAAGACCATTCCCATCATGGACCAGTTCCTAAGCCCCGCGCACATTCGGTTCCCCTCCCAGAGCCTCACTGAGGGAACACGTGGCCAGGCACACTGCTGGCCTTTGGGAGGTGGCCTGCGCAAGACCCTGGGGGCACTTACCAGTTGAATTATATCCTCTAATTTTAGGTGAATGTCATCTTGATCATCTTGTGAAAGAGCTCTAAAAAATAAAAACAAAAAGTTCCCCCGTGAAAAGGAAGTAGGCATGGCAGGAATGAAACAGCAACGGTGTTCCCTGGGTGAAGAGTCAGAGGGTTTAGGGCTGTGTGGCTGGGCTGCCAGCTCAGGTGGTGGGGCCCTGAGCTGGAGACAGGAGGCTAAGGAAACAGATAAACACACATGTTAAAGGCACAGGGTTGTTCAGAGAGCTGACTTGTTACTTAGGAGGCTATAAGGAAAACACCACCATCAAAGTGAACCTGGGGATGGCTTGGGCCTCCTGCAATACTCCATCCAGAGGGAGGGAGTGCCCCACCTGTACTCCTCTGTCCCCTGAACCTGACCCCTTCCTGCCGAGGTGGAAAGCACAGAGCCACCCCCTCCCTATTCACTTGTAGCTCAGGGACTTCCTCCATGGCAAACATCTGAACCATGAGAGGCGGAAGCCAGCAGGTGAACTCGCCCCCACTTCCCAGATGGACTTCCCTGAGATTTGGCGCCGTGTCTCCACACATGCCATTCAGCTCTCGATTAAATTCTTTTTTGATAAGTGATTTGAACAGATGAATAAATACAGACATTAATTATCACTGAAGTGGGTGCTGGTTTCACAGTGGGAGAGATACGTCCTGTCCCTCACAAGTTCAGCGTCCAGAATTATACTGATTATGTAACTTACCATCTGAGCCAAGCATTTTAAGTCTTCCAAAATGAAGGCAGTGTCACATATTAAAAGTATTAAAATAGCTGAAACCGGTTTGGCTCAGTGGATAGAGCGTCGGACTGCGGACTGGAAGGTCCTGGGTTTGATTCCGGTCAAGGGCATGTACCTTGGTTGCAGGCACATCCCCAGTGGTGTGCAAGAGGCAGCTGGTTGATGTTTCTCTCTCATGGACGTTTCTAACTCTCTATCCCTCTCAATTCCTCTCTGTGTAAAATCAATAAAAAATATCTTTTTTTTTAAGTATTAAAATATTTAAATAGTCTCAAAGCACGTAGCCTGCCCACGGGAGGAAACTGATTTCAAAAGAAACAATATTGTGAAGTTCTGCTGTGTTTTGAATTGATTAAAGCAAAACTACCATCCTCCAAAATAAAATATCAACAGAGACGGGTTGTTCTATGCCCACAGCATGCCAGGTATGTGCTAAACATTTGACATGCCCAACTATCTCATGTGTCATAAAGTAAGCATTATCATTTCCATTTTACTGATGAGGAAACAAAAGCTCAAAGAAATTGACTAAGCGGGCCAGGGTTCGGTCCAATTGTGCTCTCCTGTTACTTGCGTTTGTGTAATCAGGCTTACAGGAGGCACCTCTTTAAGATCCAGCACAGAACACACTCAATTCCCTTTCCTCGTCTTCCTCCTCTGTTACAAACGCTTTTGACTCTTTACCAGGGAGCAGAATCTTTGTAGATCATAGAAGGGGCAGTCTTCTTGTCAGCAATTATCTATGGCATTTGTGATAAAAAGAATATAGTCCTCATAGGGTAAAGGACAGATATAGGTGAGGGGGAAAAACAAGTACACACGACTCTCTCTCCAAAGACTATTAAATCACACAGAAGGCCGACACATAGGGAATAAAAGTGATTGTTTTCTAGAGTGTATGCCATTCTTTCCGCTGTAGGCTAGTTTTCTGGAGAGAGATCAGTGGCCACATAACTATGTGTACCCAAGGAAAAATTATTTTCTATGAGGATGGACTATGTTCTTCCCTTCGAAAGAAATGGTCAAGAAATTCGTTAGCTTCTATCAAATGTTCCTCTCCTCACTGATCTTGCCCTAATGTTTCGAGATACATTCTGGTCCTATTAAGTCAGTTAACATTTTCTCTCTTCCTGAAGCCTACTGATGTTTCTGGGGGATTGTGAGGTTTTGGGGGTCACCTTTTTATGACTTGAACCCATTGCACTCGACATTCCAAGAAGTCACGTCATTGTTTCTTTTCCTTTGGGGGCTTTAGTTGTTTACAAAAAGCCCCACACTGCAGAGGCTCAGCGGCCAGCTAGTCGGACAATGTTGGAGGGGTGGTGTTTTAGAACTACAAAATTCTTGCTGAAACCGGTTTGGCTCAGTGGTAGAGCGTCGGTCTGCGGACTAAAAGGTCCCAGGTTCAATTCCGGCCAAGGGCATGTACGTTGGTTGCGGGCATATCCCCAGTAGGGGGTGTGCAGGAGGCAGCTGGTCGACGTTTCTCTCTCATTGACGTTCCTAGCTCTCTATCTCTCTCCCTTCCTTCCTGCAAAATATCAATAAAATATATTTTAAATAGAAATACAAAATTCTTGAGCAGAGGTTTTTATTCACAGACAGGGCAATAAGCTGCCTATGCCAGTGAAACTTAAAGTAACCCCTGTGTGACTGTGTGGGGCAGGGTGGCTCATCACAGCAATTTTCACTTTGCTTTATTCATGTAATATATGTTTAAATACATGTTCCATGCTTATGTATCCCTGAGTGCATATAAATCTTTAATATCAAGGGCTACATTTCACTACATGGTACGTTTTTATTTCTCATACTTATGACTGAGATCCACTGGGAGGGATAGTCACAAAATATGTCCCTTCAGATGTGAAGTCTCCTCTAGCTCTGGTCCAGTTCCAAGAGAGGCTGAATTTGCTTCTAGTCTCCTGACTATCCCAAAGCTTTAACGAACACCCCAGGATCCTGGGTTTCGCTCACATTTATGGGTCAGTATGACCAGTTTAATACCTGTGCATTTAAAATGAAACACCAGATGGAAATGGAACCCAAGTTCCATGCCCGGAAAATGTTCCCTTTAATGGTAGAAATCTGGTAGGCTCCAAAACAGCACCAGGAGCAATGGGCCTGGGACCACACTCTCTGGGCTGCTGGCATGCTGCTGCCACCGCAGGCTGTGTTCAAGCTCGGCCTGCGCAGACCCTGCTTCTCCTCACGGTGTGAAAGTTCCATCTCCTGTTGTTTCTGCTCTGGGAACTGCCAGACCGCCTCCTTCCTATGCTTCCCTAAGTATGGCCTTCCTTCCCTCCAGGCTTCTGTGAGCCCCTTGGCATTCTTTAGTTTGTAGCCACCTAACTCCAATCTCTGCTCCATCTTCATGTACATCTTCTCTGCGTCTTTGTCTACACATGGCCATCTTCTTATGCCATATTAGACTAGGGCAGTGGTCAGCAAACCCATTTGTCAACAGAGCCAAATATCAACAGTACAACGATTGAAATTTCTTTTGAGAGCCAATTTTTTAAACTTAAACTTCTTCTAATGCCACTTCTTTAAAATAGACTCGCCCAGGGGCCATGGTATTTTGTGGAAGAGTCACACTCAAGGGGCCAAAGAGCTGTATGAGCTGTATGGGGCTCGTGAGCCGCAGTTTGCCGACCACTGGACTAGGGACCCACCTGACTCCAGTATGACCTCATCTTCACTAATCACATCTGCAATGGCCTTACTTCCAAATAAGTTAAGACTTCAGTATATTCTGGGGGAGGAGGGATATAATTCAATCCATGACAACTCCTAGATCAGAGAAGGCTGGCTATGAGATCTTAAGCTAATGGGGCTAAGAATGCCTTGTGGGCCCATTGTTGAAACATTACGGACCCAAATCTGTCATTGCCACATCACGGAGGGACTCTGAACAACCTGGTGGGCTGAGTGAAAATAGGCTCCACTCCACACATAAGCATTCTTGTCACAAAGAACCAGGAGAGCAGAGCTGGGGGGCGGGGGGGGGGGGAGGAGGGATTCTTTCCAAAGGTTGCAAGTGAAGAGGGAGCTAGAAGTCGGAGCACGGGAGGAGCACCAGGCAGGGCAGACAGATGCTGTTGGCTTCCCACCTCCCAGCAGAGACAGACCACAGAGCCGTGCAGGAGGTGGAAACTGAAATGTCTGCACAAAGCCACAGATGTCTGGCTCCTGCAGAGAGCGTGGACTAGGAAAAAATCCACCATTAGTTCAAGAAGCTGTAAGACAACTTGTTACCTGCTTGGTTCAAGCCTTTATAACATGGAAGTGTGGGTTCAGATTTATAGAACCGACATGATGTGGAAATCCCAGCCTGAGACATTGATGGTAAAATTGGTCTAGGACCAGTGAACCGAGCAGAGAAAATGCATGACTCCGCTGGGTGGCACATCCACAGCCAGCTGCAGGAGGCTTCTGCTGAAACGCTGCCACCTGCTCATACACACAAGCGAGGAAAGAAACCAGAGCCGATGCCTGCTGGGCTCGCAGGGGAGGATCCTCAAGCCTTCCCCCTTCACTTCGGTTCCACAGTAAACAGCTGTCTGCCCACACAAACAGGAACGGTCACACTCCACACAACCTATGTGGCTCAGCTCTTCCCGACATAGCAGGAAAACGAAGATGATAGGTAACCCCCACCCCCTTGAGAGCAGAATCCCTGCTGCCCTCAGTGTCTGGTTGTGTAGGATCTCATCTCCTGTGACACAGCACAAATCGACCAACATAATTAATAGGCACCTGCAATTGCCTTTACCTCAGGATATTGGCTGCAGCTTTCCTTTCTTGGGGAAGAAGGTCTGGGTCTCGCAAAACTTCTTCTAGCAAATTTAGGACGTTCATCTTTAGCTCATTGTCGAGTTCAAAATCCTACAAAATAAAATGGATATTTTTACATTTCCGTTTTGAAGGATTTCGCTCCGTGATACGTGACACCATTCCTCATGATAAATTCTCTGGAGCTATGTGTGGGAAACAAAATGTATGGATCTTAGACTTTCCTTAGAGGTCCTGACTTACTGGTTTGGGACGGGGCTCTGTTGTTGTTATTTCTAACAGGCTTTCCAGGGATGGGAATTCCTCAAAGAGATATGTGCTTCCCTTGCCTGGAGCACTGTGCCTTCTCTTCACATTCATCTTTCAGGTCTAGGGAGTGATGTCTTTTCCCCAGAAGCCTTCTTTAGTTGACCCAGAGGGTAAAGAGCTTTGCCCTGCCCAGCCACTGTGACTTAGTGGTTGAGCATTGGTCTATGAACCAGGAGTTCATGGTTTAATTCCCTGTCAGAGCACATGCCCGGGTTGCGGCCTCATTCCCCAGTGTGGGATGTGCAAGAAGCAGTCAATCAATGATTCTCTCTCTCCTTTGATGTTTCTATCTCTCTTCCTCTCCTTTCCTCTATGAAATTAATAAAAATATTTTTTTAAAAACTAATTGCAATCACTTTAATTAAGAAAAACATACTTTTTAAAACCAATGGACATAAAACTCTGGGGAGGGAGGAGATGTATGGGAGGAAGGGAGGGGGGTAAAAACAAAAAAATCAATAAAATATGTAAAAAAAATTAATTAATTAATTAAGTAAAAAAAAAGAAAAAGAAAAACATACTTTTGTTATATTTAGTAAATTAAGGGCAAAAAAGTTCATAATTTCAAAAAATGAAGACAGTGCCAAAGTCTAACCTAATTTAAATTGAATGTTTTTGCACCTCAGTTTGGTGAGAACCACATGATACATTTTTCTCGATATTTTACTTTCCCTGTTTGACCATCAGTACCATTTCTTCCGGAACAGGAGCCACAGGGGCCCAGGGCAACACAGATGTTAACACCCCTTACCAATCACAGAACTTCAAATACGTTTTCCTACAATTTCACCTATATTGTCCAGAAGATTGTTAGTTGTTGATTTTCCTTTTAAAATGTATGCAAGAAGAGAGTAATGCCTTGGCTTGTTGTTTTTTGTTCCACCCTTTCCCTCATTTTAACAGTTCATTTAACATCTCACCTACTCCAATCTGTGTGCACTACCAAAGATTTCTCAGCCATCAAGAGTCTTTTTCTTAATGAATAGTTGATATTTACTAGTGAGATGATCAAATCCTTTTGTAGTAATGTTAGGTCCCTAATGATATAAATAATCTGATGATCATAAATAGGTTAGTGTGAAGGACTTCAGGCCAGTGCTGGACCTTGTTGAAGGCTAATTAGTGGTTTAATCAAGGAGCATCACGAATCACCTATTGCTGAATTTTACAAAGGGAACCCTTCTGAGACCCTAGAAAGGTGAATTGTGTGAAAGGTCTTGTTTTGAAAAACAGAATGTAATTTTATTATTTGACCTCTGGGAAGACTAGCCTGAGAGAGCCCTTTGAAAACTTGGTCACCTCTGCCCAAACGTTCTTTGGAGTCTGACAAATGGTTACAGGTGAATATTCGCACTGCAGCCGGTGTAGATAATGTAAGCAGATTATCTGACGATGGCTGAGTCTAAAATATAAAAGTTCTCGCTCATAATTTCCCCTTACATTTGCACAGGTTTTTACCATGTTCAAAGTGACTTCCTGCATATGATTTCAGTTCTTTCTCAGCTGGTCCAGGGACAGACAAGGCTGGAGCCATGATCTGGTTTCAGCAGGGGCCTCTGGGCTGAGAGGAGAGGTGTAAGGAGGGGGTGGCTCAGACCAGGAACATGAGTCTGCCTTCAGGCCCTGGTAGGAGTGCTTCACACCTGCACTTCTCAAACTGTCATGTGGCCACAAATCACCGCAGCTTCTGGCACAGCAGGTCTGGAATGGGGATTGAGATCCCACTTTTCTAAGGAGCCCCTGAGTGATGCGATCACCCTCGGAGTAGCAAGACTTTGCCTTAAAAAAGAGTGCAAAACACTCTTCCAAAACTTATTTTAAAAATATGAATCATCTGATGTACTACCTAGCAAATAAAATTTCTTTTTTGAACCCATGCATGTAAATTGCAAAATTGTCCCAGTCAAAAACATATTAACTACTACCCACTAAAATGAAGTCTGAAGCAGCTAAAAGTCACTTGCACTATTTAAATCAGAGATAGGTTATTCATAATAAATCTTCCTGACAGCCATTTTGTAATTATCTAGAATCTAATTTTTGGCTGTATTTCCCTAGGCCCTGAAGCAGGAAACGAGACTATTAGGCGGTAGAAAATGGCGTGGCAGCACTCAGGACGTTCACTAGATGGCGCTCTTGGGCCGTCTGACTATAGTATCTGGCATTGGGCATCGCCTTGGAATTGGACCTGGCAGCTGGTGCACAGGGAGCAGGGTCCTGTGTAGGAAAGCTGCCTGCTGAAACTCATCCCACACAGCTTCATGCTCCAGGTGAGTGAACCCTATGGCACCCCGAGGACCCGAGGCATTCACTGAAGTTATCACAGCAACAGCTTATTTAGGGTGGTTTTTGTTATCCAATTCATGAAGCAGGGATAAGGAGACAGAAGATTAGAGAAAAACAAAACAAAACAACCCATCTTACTTTCAAAGGTGAAGAGACCAGAACATGTGAGACTTTGACATTTAAATCTCTAAAAAGGATACTAGACTCTAGCTCGTTTGTTCTATTATTCCTGAGCACCTCAATACATGAGGCTTTAGGGGAGAAGCGGAGAGGAAACAGAAGTCTGGGCAGATGGGCAGAGGACAGAAATATTAACCCGTGAAACCCAAGGAGAGAGGCTTGTGGAGGAGCCATCCAAATGCAGGTGAGAGCTGGGTAGTGCCTGACTGGGGCACAGGAGAGAGGCTGGGCCTGGAAATGTAGGTCTGAACCCTGCCAGGAGGGGACAGCCTGAGCAAGTGTCCAGGACTAGAGCGTGGCACACAGCAAAGGCTTAGGAACACATCACCGATGGATGGTGCCATAATCCTCCTCAAGAGATACGTATTGTGAGGTGAGGGTATTTTACCAAGATCTTACTGAGGCTACTCAAACACTTGACTCTATGATCAGAAAACCAGTATTTCCTCTAGGTTAGGGAGCAATGCCTGGAGCAGTTATCATAACCAAGACAGTGAGAATTTGCCACATACTAAGTGGTACTTTAATAACTTCATTCTCTAATTTAACCCCCAGTCGCAGCATAGTTACCATCATTATTATTCCCATGTTATATGCAAGGAAGTCAAGGCATAATGAATCTTAGTATCATGATCAAAGTCACACAGGTAGCAGGTGGCAGACCCAGGACTCAAGTCCAGGCAGTGTTGGCTGAAGCCTGAGGTCTTTAACTGCTACACCTCACAGACTCTGCAGAAAAAGTGCGTATCAGTGAGTCAGTGCTGGTGGGTTGGGCTTCAAGACATAACACAGTTGCTGGTTACCATGCCAAGTCGGGAACTGTTTCCCACCTATACTAGCAGCTATATGATATAGAGATGTTGAGATTTGGGTCTATATTAACAAGATGAGATCACACAACAGAAAAAAAAACAATCTGTGAGTCAATAAATCAGATTCTCCAGCACTTTAAAACGAATCCCTGTTGATAGCTTAGACTTCATGGAAATTACATTCATTCTTTCAGGAGAGCAGGGTGATCGTTAGTAATATACTGCGTATGGCCAAGGGAATTCTAGGACTCTGGGAAATCAGATTCAATAAACACAGTTTGAGGGTAAAGAGAATTATGAGAGTAATTTTCTCACTGTAATCAGTACAATGTATTTCCTAACAATGGCCAGGATTTTTTAAAGGAAAAGTGGAAATACTGCAGAGTGGAGTAAAACCACATAAATCATTTTAAAACGTGGAGCAAAGGGCTCATACAGAAGGGCTTTTGGAGGCGTTAGGCTCAAACATAAGGGGTTTGACATAATGATTTTCAGAAAAATGAAAAGCACACTACTGTTTTCTGTCTTGTTTGACTAGAGGGGATGAACATTTAATTTAAATTGTGGTGCAGAGAGAGGACCAAGGAACCATGGCTTCTTTGGCTGCTGTTTGCAGAGGTCCCGGGAGGAAAAAGTTTACGTACTTCCTCATGGCTGCTGTCGGCTGCCCAAACCCAGGAACTCGAGCAGTGCTATGGAGAAGTTGTTCACAGTATAAACAGATAAGCAGCAACGAGGACCTGCCCGTTCCAATAGAAAATCCTTATAAGGAGCCTCTTAAAAAGTGTGTCTTGCCGAAACCGGTTTGGCTCAGTGGATAGAGCGTCAGCCTGCGGCAGTCAAGGGCATGTGCCCTGGTTGTGGGTACATCCCCAGTGGGGACTGTGCAGGAGGCAGCTGATCGATGTTTCTCTCTCATCGATGATTCCAACTCTCTATCCCTCTCTCTTTCTGTGAAAAATCAATAAAATGTATATTTTTTAAAAAGTGTGTCTTGTGTGGAAAATGTGTAGATTATTAGAATATACAGCTTTCTAATGTACAGCTTTCTAATGTACAGCTTTTGTCCCAGTTTATTTCTCCATTTACTGGAGAGGCACATAACAGGTCTTTGTGGGAAGGAACGAAAAGAAATCACAAAAGCTATTAAGAGAGCACAAATAATGGGATTTATGCCAGTTACATACAAGGATCCTGCATATCTCAAAGACCCTAAAATTTGTAACATCAAATATCGAGAGTAAATTATAAACTTATTTTAAAATAAATAAATACATAAATAAATAAATTGTGGTGTATATGTAAGTTATACTAGTATCTGGGGCCATTTTATCAACTGGGAAACTGGACTGAGATGCCCAGTGATCATCCCAAGATCTATGCAAATGAACCCTGACAGCACTAGGGAGGCCCTCCATGGGATTCCTCATTTTAATAAACCAGAGGTAACAAGCCTCCTTACCGGAGTGGTTTTCAGCTCTTTTAAAAAGGTGAGTCTATTCAGAA